CCCAGACTGGAGTGCAGTGGCACGCTCCCGGCCACCACAGCCTTGACCTGCTGGGCTCCAGTGATCCTTCCGCCTCAGCCATCCAAGTAGCTGGAATTACAGGCACACACTACCACACCCAGCTAGTTTTTGATTTATTGTAGAGACAAGGTATTGCCAATTTGCCTGGTCTCGAACCCACGGGCTCAGGCATTCCACGCGCCTCGGCCTCCCAAAGTGCTGGGATTACAGGCTGAGCCACCAAGCCCAGCCTCCACATTTACTCTTACCCACCAGTTAAAAATGCCAAGTAGGAAGTTAGAAAGGAATAACATGGGGGGGCAAACCAGTGGCCCAATACAGGAACAGAAGTTGTTCTGATTTATAATACAGCGAGGGCTGCTGAAGTCAGCAAACCCTTTCCACAAAGGGCGAGAGTAAATACTTAGACTTTGTAGGTTTTTTGTCACAACTACTCAGTGCTGTCCTTACAGTGCTAAAGCATCCCATTTACTAATGTACATCTATTTATTATTCAAATGATAAAATTATAAAAATTAACAGAAAAGAGAGAGGGCAGCAGAGCAGAGTGTCTGAGACTGAATGGGCAAGGTCTAAGGGCAGCCAGCCCCAAGTGTGGAATATAGCAGATGCAGTGTGATCAAAAGTGGCTTTTGAAAGAGCCAGCTTCTGAAATTGTGGGACACACCGAAGGAAGAAGTGACGGTGGGCACAGTTGTGTTCCAATAAGACTTTATTTACAGCCGGGCTCAGTGGCTCAGCCTGTAATCCGGCGCCTCTGGGAGGCTGGGGCGAGTGGATTGCCTGAGCCTGCGGGTTCGAGACCCGCCTGGGCAACTTGGCGAGACCTCATCTCTACAATAAATAAAAAATTAGCCGGGTGTGGTAGTGTGCGCCTGTAATTCCGGCTACTTGGAAGGCTGAGGCGGAAGGATCGCTGGAGCCCAGCAGGTCGAGGCTTCGGTGGCCGGGAGCGGCCACTGCACTCCAGTCTGGGTAACAGAGTGAGACTCCAACTCAAAAAACAAAAAAACAAAACAAAAAAACTTTATTTACAAAGAGGCAGCATGTCGCCTCTGGCATGTGGAATGCAGTTTGTGAACCCCTGCTTTAGAGGATTTCATTTGAGTGTGATAACAGCAGAGATAGAACTCACAGACCTAGGTACCTACCTCAGGGCCTAGGAATGTCACCCAGTTCTCAGGGGATTAGACAGTGAGTGCCCAAAAGTGTGGCTGATGGTCCACAGTCTAAACATCTTAGTTAAGACGAAGGCCGGGTGCAGTGACTCATGCCTACAATCTCAGCACTTTGGGAGGCCAAGGTGAAAGGACTTCCTGAGCCCATGGGTTTTGGAACAACCTGGGCAACATGGAGAGAGTTCGTCTCCACAATAAATCATAAAATTAGCTGGGCATGGTGGCACAAGCCTGTAGTTCCAACTACTTGGAAGGCTGAGGCTGAAAGACTGCCTGAGCCCAGCAGGTTGAGGCTGCGGTGGCCATGAGTATGCCACTGCATTCTAGCCTGGGCGACAGAATGAGACTCCAACTCAAAAAAATAAAATAAAATAAGACAACGGATTTCATTAGCTTTTCAATCTGCACTGGGCAGACTTTTTAAGTCTTTCTTGAACAGAAGTCTTGCCCTCCTCAAATATGCCAGTTCAGTAATATCAGGTAGTCAATATCAGAAAAATTCACATTTAAACTCTATCTTCAACCCGGCCTCGGTGGCTCAGCCTGTAATCCTGCGCCTTGCGAGGTTGAGGTGAATGGACTGCCTGAGCCCGTGGGTTCGAGACCCGCCTGGGCAACTTGGCGAGACCTCATCTCTACAATAAATCAAAAAATTAGCCAGGTGTGGTAGCGCGCGCCTGTAGTTCCAGCTACTCGGAAAGCTGAGGCGGAAGGATTGCCGGAGCCCAGCAGGTCGAGGCTGCGGTGGCCGGGAGCGGCCACTGCACTCCAGTTTGGGCAACAGAGTGAGACTCCAACTCAAAAAAAACCCCAAAACTCTATCTTCAAATGGAACAACTACTTTTATTGGTTTTTAGAAAAATAGACACTTGTCTTTTCATTCTCTTGCCTTCCTTTCTGAATCCTTCCTTCTGCTATCTGCTCTGTAAATGATCAACAACAGTCTAGAAATTATACTTTTCAGTGAATTAGGGATTTCAATGTTTTTGTCAATTTTACTGTGCATGTTGCATTTTATTTTAGTTAAATTCCCAATATTACTGAAAATGTTTTTCTTTTGCCTAATTCTGATGACTGGCAGACAAGACAGATTAACATGGTTTAACTTACAAAAGTTGCACTATCACCAGAAGCAGAGAAAGATTACAAAAGTTTCCATGAAGTTTTGTAGCCAAGAAAAAGCTAGTGAGAATTCTAACATATTTTAGAATTCTAACATAAATCTTCTAACATAAATCTTCGAAATATATAAAGACATAATGCACTTGTACTATTATGCAGCCATAAAGAAAAACAAAAACAAAAATACCTCGCAGCAACTCGGGTGGATTTAGAGTCTGTAGTACTTAGCGATCTATCACAGAGAAACAAAGAACTGAGTATCACATGTACTCACTCCTAAGCGGATCCCAAACATTTGTCGTAACACGACAAGAAAAGGATTGGCAGTAGTGGGACGCTGCCGGGGAGGGAGGGGAGGACACACCAATAAGGGCACCAAACTTCACCTGGACGATGAACACTCATGTGCCTCACCCTGAACTTTACCCTACATCTTTCAAATAAAAATTAAAGGGAAAAAATAACTCTTTTCCAAGTTTCAGTTCAACCTCAGTCTATCTTAAGTGATGTCTCCAGGTCATGTCTGCAGGGATGACAGACTTGTTCTTGGTCTCTTGGGCTTCCAAAGGAAGTGGAAGGTGTCAGAGGAAACTACTCCATGAATCACAAAGACGTTACCTGAATCCACGCCTGCTGTTTAATATCGCCTTTGTGGGTTTTACCTTCATAGCCTTTGCCACCATACTTCTGATCTTCACGTATGCATTTCACATGGTTTCTATAGTCGTTGCCCCTTGAAAGTGATCAAAAGTTCCACCATTAGACTACCGCCAGCAAGCTTTCTGCCTTGTGCAGTCCACACTGCACTTTTTCACATCTGTCCACTGTAGATTTCTACTGATTTCTACCCCCATTGACTTATAACCTCCTGGCCTGGACCCTTCCTCCAAAGTCTTCAATGTAAAGCCCACTACCAAACTTTTCACCTATTTTTATATACAAACATTTTAAACCAAACTGATAGACAGTACTTTTTTTAGTTCTAAGTGTATATATACTGAATAAGAAACAATTGTCTGTGTTAGAGTGTCTTTCTTAAGTTATACAAATCTCAGTGACTTTCTGGTAATAGAATAGGCAGTCAATAATTAGTTGTACAATAAATCTTTTTTTTTTTTTTTTTGAGTTGG